AGATCACCTGAGGTCAGGAGTTCGAGACCAGCCTGACCAATATGGTGAAACCCCATCTTAAAAAAAAAAAAAAAAAAAAAAAAAAAATAGGGACTCCTCCAATACCTGTGAAATGATGTCCAGCACAGAGAAGACCCTCAATCAGTATCTGACATGATGGAAGGTTCTATTTATGTCAATGCAGCAAGCAGCTGGGTGCTGTGGCTCACACCTGTAATCCCAGCACTTTGGGAGGTGGAGGTGGGAGGACTGCTTGAGCCCAGGAGGTTGAGGCTGCAGTTATCCATGACCCTGACATTGCACTCAGCCTGAACAACAGAGCAAGACTCTGTCTCAAAAAATAAATAAGACAGTCCGGGCGCGGTGGCTCATGTCTGTAATCCTAGCAGTTTGGGAGGCTGAGGTGGGTGGATCACAAGGTCAGGAGTTCGAGACCAGCCAGGCATGGTAGTGCGTGCCTACTAATCCTAGCTACTCAGGAGGCTGAGTCAGGAGAATCGCTTGAACCCAGGAGGTGGAGGTTGCAGTGAGCTGAGATCACACCACTGCACTCCAGCCTTGGCGACAGAGTGAGACTCTGTCTCAAAAATAAATAAATAAATAAGACAAAAGGCAGCAAATATATATTTACAGTTTACTTTGAAATGCATCAAAAATGTGTGATATGAGAATAAATGGACAGATGTGTGATCAAGCAAGTTTGGTAAAATCTAGTAGTGAGAATGCTGGTGTTCACTATAACATTCTTTCATCTTTTCACGATGTTTGGAATGTCTTTGAAATACAATATTACAGGGAGAGAGAAGGAGCCTATGTAAGGAAATGGTGGTATTCCACAAAATAAGAAAAAAAATGCAGCAACTAGAAAGTGAGGCACATCACATTTTTTTTTTTGTAGACAGTGATTTTATTTAAAGAGAGAGAGAAACAGAAGAAGGAGAGAGAAAGAAACTGCTAACTCTCACACTGAGTGAGAGAGTCCAGAAAGATGGACTCCAGGAGAGGAAAGCAGCTTCCACACTGAGTGGGAATAGAGAGAGATGGAGTTTAGGAGGGGAAGGCAGGCTTCCACAAGAGAGTGTGGAAGGGGACTCCAGAGGGAAAATCCAGGAGAGAGAAAGACGCCTTCCATGAAGGGAGTGTTTGTGGAAGGGGACCCAAACATGGAGTCTGAAGGGGTGTGGAAGAAGGGGACTTTTAACCTGGGAGGAACCCTTACCTTCTCTAAGACCCCAGGCCAATGAAAGGAGTTCCTTAGAACTTCTGCTGGAGTGATTGACTCTTAGTTTCTTCCCATGCCCATGAAATTTAAACATAAACCGTTAAATCTCCTGGATGGACTGAGATAGGAGGGCATGGCATGGTGCTGGGAAGTTCTTGCCCTTAAAACTACACCCCCCTGTGGACCCTGGAAAGAGAACACCTTCCTTCATTCCTCGCCTTTGAACAGGAAAGCCCAACTTCTGTTGGAACACGGGCGTGGATCCTCCCTAACTACTTCCTGCTGAAATGGGGTGCAGAAGGGGCCCTGCAGTTGAGGTTTCCTCCAGAGGGGAGCCTTTAGGGATGCAAGTTGATCTAGAGGTCCACGATAGAGCCCACGAGCCAAGGACACCTGGGCTTGCAGCGGCAGGATTTTGTGACCTTATGGTTGAGTGGTTGCTTTCCTGAGGATCTTGTTGGAAAATCATATGTAGATCATATTTTTTTTAAATAAAATTTTCATTTTTTAAATAAAGACGGGGTTTCACCATGTTGGTCAGGCTGGTCTTGAACTCCCAACCTCAGGTGATCTGCCCGACTTGGCCTCCAAAGTGCTTGGATTACAGGCATGAGCCGCCACGCCCGGACTATGTAGATCTTCTAATGGCTCACAGGTGGATGAAGGGTCATCTCCTGGAACTTTAGGCTGTGGAGTGGAGAGTCTCTGACTTTCCTCCGGAGGTAGCCAAGGCTTCAGCCAAGTGTGATGAATCCATGAGTTAATTTCCACTACCTTAACTGATGTTGGGGTAGACAGAATGGCCAAAAACGGTCCTTCCCAGGATGGGCCCTGCTGCCTGGGACTGGAGAACACCGGAGAGCCCTGCCAGAGCCATGTGCCAGGCTGCCACGCTCCCGGTCCCCTGCAGGCTGGGGCTGTACCTCGCCCCTCCCCGTAGTTTTTCTCTGAAGGCTGCGCATGCTCAGTTCCGCCCCCTGAGGCTGGCAGGGAAGGAGCAGAAAGCGGGGATGTTCACCTTTTCCACCCCAAAGGCTCCTGCAGGTTTTGGTCCCAGAGATAATATCTGAAGGACAGAGAAGGAGAGGGAAAGCAGAGAGAGAGCTTGGAGGTAAAAAAAAACTGTGCTTTTAATTCTGGCTGGTC